GTGTTTTTACATAATCCCTCTAGCTGTCCTGGATAGATAGTTTCTCCTAATTTAAACCAACCAGATTTCAATTCTCAAGTTTTTAGTTCCACAGTTATGAATAAGTCTTTGAACTCTAGCATTACTCTTAAGTGTAACTCGAGTGTATCTGCTGGTGCTAATTGTAAATCCAGCACTCTTGACTTTAGTTTACAGCCATGTAGTCTAAACAATAGTGAAATTTCTGCTTTTAATTGTAATTCAGCTTCAATAAATAAAAGTTCTCAGTGCAAATTTGAATAAAAATACTCTCTCTGATTTTGATTTGTGTACATTATCTGCTTTATCACATAGTGATTCTAATTTTAATTTTGCTCAATCTACTATGCCTGTTGCAACTAATTGTGCTTCGACATCTTAGTGTAATTTGAATGAACAAAATGCTTCTGCTTTCTCTACATTTTTTGAATCATCACTAAATACCCATAATCATCACTCTAATCAACATTGTTTGTCTGCCAAATCTGATTCTGCTAAACTTTCTTTAATTACTGCATCCAGTTCTCCTATCTTGTCTTCTACATCATTGCATACTACTTGCAACACTGATTTTGCTCATGATGTATTGCCTACTATGTCTGACTATACCAAAGTGCTCATTGCGTCTTTTTCAAATGGAAAACACACTGATTCTGCTCCTCATATGTTGCCTGCTGCATCATCTGCTTTCAAGTCAATAACATAACTATAGACATGAACCTTTTGCATAATAGACTAGGGCACCCTCATGTTGAAGCTCTTCATAAAATCTTGTCTCAACTTCATATCAAACCTCTAGACTATGGTCCTGCCTTATCCTTTTGTGATGCTTGCAAGCTAAGGAAGACACATAGAACAAGTTTCCTGTGTCTCAATCCAGAGTTTCTTAACCTTTAGAACTCATACACAGTGACGTTTGAGGGCCAGCACCAGTTGCTTGACTTGAAGGATTTAGGTATTACATACATTTTATTGATGATTATAGTCATTTTACTTGGATCTTTCCATTACAAACCAAAGCTAAGGTTAGTTCCACATTTGTTAGCTTTCACCATTTGGTAGAAAGACAATTTAATACCAAACTAAAATGTTTACATTCTGATCAAGGTGGTGAATACAAAGGATATGTCTCTTACCTTACTAATGTTAGAGTTGAATTTAAACACTTTGTGCTTATATTCACCAACAAAATAGGCGAAAGGAGAGAAAAGATAGACATATTGTTGAGACTAGTCTTACTTTGCTTGCACAAGCATCTATGCCATTGCATATATTTTTGGTGGTTTGCCTTTGAAACAGCTGTATTTTTAATAAATAGAATGTCTTCCTCAACATTGAAATTTATCTCTCCTTATCAAATTTTGTTTGGTAGAATTCCTCTTTATTTTTCCTTAAAGTCTTTGATTGTGCTTGCTTTCCCTATTTAAGGGATTTTCATAAACATAAATTGAATTTTCACTCTTCTAAATGTGTATGTGTTGGTTATAGTCTTGTCCATAAAGGCTATAAATGACTCACTACTAAAGAAAAAATTATCATTACACCTAGTGTTCAATTCAATGAAACATAGTTTCCTTTTGCCGCTAGTTTTCCATCACCTGCATCAACACATGGGCCCTCAAATGATACCAATAACACCTCCTCCTTAGGCAACTTTCCTTTTGTATATTTGCCTCGTACAAATGATCCAAACAACAAAGTTTCTTCAGCAAAGCTCTGCTCGTCTACTCTCCTTGCTTTAGCTGTTGGTAAGCAAGTTTCACTATCTACTACTCCTCTTTCTCATCATTTAAATTATATACCAAATTTCTCTACTCTAACTCTAAATTGCAAGATACCTCTTCTATGTCATGCTCATCATGTAAGTCTTTTCCAACCAATTCATCTCTACCTCCTAACACTCAAAACACTCAAAATCATCCATTTGTTTCACAGTACCCAAAAAGTCCTCTTATTGTGGATCTCACCTGTTTTCCACCTGCCAATTTAGTCTCTAAACCTTTCACAGTAACTACCCAGGCTTCTTTGTCTAAGGAGTCTCCTGACTGTCATCTTGTAGTTGATCTATCTTCATCTTAGATTCCTACTTTTACCTAATACAAATTTACTTCTAACCTACCCTAAAATACATTAATACCTACCTCTACCTCTTCCTAGTCCATTATCACTTCTACCTTATCCTCTCACTCAGCACCTATTCCTGCTCATCCCGGAGACTTACCTGTCCCTAGCCTACCATTGACAACTAATCTACATCCTATGCTCACCTGAGCAAAATCTGCTCACCAAAATAGTAATGCCCTAGTCACTTCCAAGCTTCTTACTACCCAACCTAAACCTTCTTCTATGAATGAAGCTCTTGCTTGTAATGAGTGGAAAGCGGCTATGTAAGAGGAATACAATGCTCATCTAAAAAATGATGCATGAACACTTGTCTCTAGAACCTCTAAAATGAATGTTGTAGGCAATAAATGGGTATTTCGCACCAAATTCCATGTTGATGGTTCATTACAAAAGTATAAAGCCAGGTTGGTGGCACAATGATTCTAGCAAACTCTTGGTCTAGACTACTTTGAAACCTTTAGCTTTGTTATCAAACCCTCCACCATCAGGATCATTTTTACCCTTGCTATCTCAAATGGATAGGATATACAACAAGTTGATGTTAATAATGCCTTCCTTAATGGAATTTTGAGTGAAACAGTCTACTGAGTGAGCCTACTAGTTTTGAACACCCTAAGTTCTCTTCTTATGTGTGGAAACTTAGTAAGGCTTTGTATGGTCTCAAACAAGCTCCAAGAGCTTGCTTTGACAAACTCAAGCAAGCCTTATTGAATTAGAGGATTTCAGAATTCAGTATCAGACTCCAACCTCTTCATTTTCAAGGATTTAGTTCAAGTTCTCTACATTTTTATTTATGTAGATGACATTCTCATCACTAGATCAGACCATGCTTCCATCTTGCAACTTGTGACGCTCTCTCTAAAAACACTTGGCTCTATTGGTTATTTTCTTGGGATAGAAACAACTAGAAATGCTGAGGGTATTCATCTAAAGCAGACCAAATATATTAGTGATTTACTAACCAAAACAAAGATGCAAGATGCTCATCCTTGTCCAACTCCCATGGCTGCTAAAACCAAACTCTTCTCCTCTGATAGTGAATTATTCAAAGATCCCAGTTTATATAGAAGTACAGTTGGAGCCTTACAATATTTGACATTAACTAGACCCGACATAAGCTTCACAGTCAACAAGCTTAGTCAATTTCTTCAAGCACCAACTAAACTTCAATGGCAAGCCTCCAAAAGAGTGTTCAGATACATAAAAGGAATTCAATTCCATGGTTTACAATTCAAACCAACAGCTACTGTTTGTGTTGAATGCTACATGGATGCAGATTGGGGAAGTAATCTTAATGATAGGAGGTTCACAAACAGGTATTGCATCTACTTGGGACCTAACCTAATTCAATGGAGTTCTCGCAAGCAAAAATTTGTTGCTTTGTCTTCGATAGAGGCTGAACACAGAGCCCTTACATGTGATTTGGTGTGATAATCTTAGCGTTGTACTAACACAACATATGGAGCCAACAGCGATCCTGTCCCAACTCAATATATCCTTTTATTTTCAACATCCCCAACTAAAAAATTTTGGGCGCATAAGGATGAGGAGTTTGCATCTGACGACCCCCCTGAGAGATAAGATAATTTTAAATACCACCAAGGTTTTGCAAAAGTATGAAAAAAATAACCCCTATCTTAAGTTAAATTTAACAATTCTGTCCAATTTTTTATTTAATATTAAATTAAAAACAAAAATTCCATTTTACCTTTTTTATTATTTACCAAATTGTTAATTGCTTAGAAAGATAATTATATTTTAATATTTTGTTGAAGTAAAAAGGCCCTAATACCCCTTGATTCATAGGGTTAGATCATTAGTCTTCCAAGATTATGTAAATGCCCTTATTTATGTTGACTTTAGTTGACTTGTGTTACTCTGTTTAGTAGCCAAAGAGTTTTAAACATTGGGAGCATTTATGTCACGTTTAGTTACAAGAACATAATTTCATTTATGTCGTGTTTAGTTACAAGAACATAATTTCATCATACACTTAATTGAAGGATGATTTCACGTCATAAAATGTGTCAAAACTAGCTTAGATTTTGATGTAGATCAATGGAGAAACTAAAGTGAGGGTAATTTTTGATGAAGCAATCCCATATTATTGCTGTTGTTTATTATCACATATATTACTCTCAAATTTTTATTTATTACAAAATCATAGTGAGAGCTACTAGTACAACCTGAGACGCATGCCAACTAAATTATTTATCATCAATCTAGAAACTTTTAGTTGTAAACGTCCCATTGTTGATTATCCTCATGTTCAGTTTCGTAGCGCCCTCAGGGGGCAAATGATTATTTTATTGACAACAATCCCTTTCTTCCACTGTGAACCGTGCTCATACATAGAGATTTCCATGTCCCCAGTCATACCGTAATTAGTCAAAATCACGCCAACGGGGACGTATGACCATTTGTTTTCTTGCAATCTACTCAAATCTTGTTTGTGTTATTGAAGAGTGATTCAAAGTCTTTAAAGGCAAATAAGTCTTTTGCTGGAGTTGAAATAGTCCAAGTGTTTAGTGGCTACTAATTAGGTGACATAATGAAAGAAGTAAGGTGCAAGTAATTTTTATGTAGTGCTTTAGTAAAATTAGGAGTCATGGAGTCATGGCTACGTGTGTAGCCTGTAAGCCTATAAAAGGCAATGTCTTTTCTCATTTATCTTTGTATTGATTCTGCAGTTCAATTCCTCTTTAACAAATATTATTATTTCTGCTCTTGTTTCCATTCACTACTTCGTGTCCGTCTTCATCTAATCCAACATTTGTGGTATCAGAGCCAGGTTTCGGTCTTGACTGGGCGAACACAAAAAAAAAAGTGAGAAACAGTGAAACACGTGAGAGATCTAAATGGTAGCAAATGGGCTTTCAACCTCCACACAGTCACTCATACCCATCTTCAATGGTGAGAAATATGAGTTTTGGAGCATCAAAATGAGAACCTTGTTCACGTCTCAAGAGTTATGGGACGTGTTTGAGCATGGCATTACTGATGAAGTACTTTCAGATGAAGAGAAAAAATTGAATACTCCAAAGCCTTGTTCTTTATTCAACAAGCGATACATGAGTCATTCGAGAATTGCAGTAGTAGAAACTACAACAAAGGCTTGGAAGATCTTAAAGAATGAATATCAAGGGTCTGCAAAGGTAATTACGGTAAAATTGCAAACTTACTGTCGTGATTTTGAAAATTTGCTTATGCAAAACAATGAATCTGTGCAAGATTATTTGTCTCGTGTGTCTACCCTTGTTAATAAAATGAAGTCGTATGGTGAAAAAATCACTAATGAAATCATAGTTGCAAAAATCTTGAGGAGTCTCACTCCAAATTTTGAACATGTGGTTGCTGCAATTGAGGAGTCTCATGATTTATCTTATTTCTCTTTTGATGAATTAATGAGTTCTTTGCACGCTCATGAAGAAAGGCTGAATAGATCGCATGACAAAAATGAGGAAAAAGCATTTCAAGTGAAGGTGGAGTCATCTCAGAAGGGCAAGGCGGAAAATTTTTCTGAGAAGAAACAAGGCAGAGGCGATAATTATGGTGGTTTTCATGGTAGAGGACGTGGCAGAGGCAGAGGAAGAGGACAATTTGGTGAATACAGGCAGAATAAGAGTTCAATTTGGTGCCACTATTGCAACAAACTTGGCCACAAAGAAGCTGATTGTTGGGCTAAGCAAAAGAATGCCAATAGTCAAGCAAATTTCGCAGAGAAGGCAGATGAAGACAGTAAGCTTTTCATGGCCCATTTTTGTAATAATGTAGTCTCTGATGATGTTTGGTTCTTGGACAGTGGATGTTCTAATCATATGACGGGAACAAGATCATTGTTCAAGGAACTTGATGAGTCACAAAAGTCAAAAGTGAGGTTAGGTAGGGGTGTTCAAAAAAATACAAAAGCTGAACCGAACCGCTAACCGAACCGAAAAACCGATTAACCGAAAAAATGGTTCGGATACGGTTCGAAAAATTCAAAAAACCAAATTTTTGGTTTGGTTACCGGTTTGAGAAAAATTAGAAACGGTTAACCGAAAACCGGTTTTCTAAACCGGTTTTTCAAATATATATATATATAATTATTAAATTAAATAAATAAATAATAACCTAAACTAAAATAAATCCCTAATTCACTCAATCTAAAATCCCAACCCAAAATTTTTTTCTTAGTTCCCAATGTATTGTCTATATTTACAATTTAATTTAGGACAAAATTAAAAAAAAAAATTATCAAAAAAAAGGGAAAACCGGTTCAAAACTGGTTAACCGCTTTTTTTAAAACGGTTAACCAGTTTTTTGGCCGAAAAACCGGTTTTTCCTAAAACCGGTTCGGTTTTGGTTTAGGAATTTTCCCGAACCAAAAATCCAGTTCTATTTAGAAAAGCGGTTAACCGGTTTGGTTAACCGCTTTTGAACACCCCTAAGGTTAGGAGATAACAAATAGATTCAAGTTGAAGGAAAAGGTACAATTTCCATCACTAGTCATGGTAAAGTCAAATTATTGCCTAATGTATTGTTTGTTCCTAGTTTGACTCATAACCTACTAAGTATTGGGCAACTAATGATTAGGGGATATTGCATTGTGTTTAATGATGGGTTGTGTGTTATTAAGGATAAAAAAAATCAGGCCAGATTATTGCTACTGTTAAAATGGCTAGTAATAAAATGTTTCCACTTGAAGTTTCAACTGTTGAAGATTCTGCTTTGATGGCTAAAGGATGTAGTGAGGCTAAATTATGACATTTGCATTATGGACACTTAAATATAAATGGGTTGAAATTGTTGAGTCAAAAAGAGATGGTTTTTGGGTTGCCTAGAATTGATAATCTTGACTTTTGTGAAGGTTGTGTCTATGGAAAGCAAAATAGAAAGAGTTTTCCTGTAGGAAAATCTTGGAGAGCTTCCAGTTATCTTTAGTTATTGCATGTTGACTTATGTGGGCCTATGAGTATTGAGTCTTTTGGTGGGAGTCGATATTTTTTGCTGATCACATATGACTTTAGTCGCATGAGTTGGGTTTTTTTCTTGAAATTCAAGTCTGAAGCTTTTGATAATTTCAAGAAATTCAAAGCAGTTGTTGAGAAGCAAAGCAAGTGTTTCATTCAGACACTTCGTACAGACAGAGGAGGTTAATTTCTTTCAACTGAATTTAATGTTTTTTGTGAGGAAAATAGAATTCACAGGAACTTACTGCACCACACACATCGGAGCAAAACGGTGTTGCTGAAAGGAAGAACCGAACAGTGGTTGAAATGGCCAGAAGTATGTTGAAAGCAAAAAATCTTCCGGATAATTTTTTAGGAGAAGCAGTTGCAACCGTAGTGTACATTCTCAATATTTCTCCTACAAAAGTTGTTTTGAACCAAACACCATATGAAGCTTGGAAAGGTAGAAAGCCGCAAGTAAGCCACTTAAAAGTTTTTGGTTGTATAGCTTATGCTTTGATAAAATCACAGTCTCAAAAACTTGATAAAAAATCTGAAAAATGCATTTTTATTGGATATAGTCCACAATCCAAACATATAGACTATATAACCTGTCAGTGGCAAGATGATTATTAGTACGGATGTGATGTTTAATGAAGATGCAAGTTGGGCCTGGAAGAAGAAAAGGAGCAGATTCAAGTTCAGAAGATTCTGATGATCCACAAATGGTTCAACACCAACAATTTTGATTCATCCTCTGACTTTCTAATGAAACTACTCCAAGAAAAACCAATCCTTGAGGGAGATTTATGAAACCTGCACATTTGCTCTATTTACTTCAGATCCTATAGTTTTGAGGAAGCTGTGAAAAAGTCAGAATGGTGTAATGCATGGAAGAAGAGCTGCTGGCAATTAAAAAAATGAGACATGGGATTTGGTGAATTTGCCTGAAGAAAATGCCATGGGGCTCAAATGGGGTATCGAAACAATACCATGCAAATGGAAGTATACAGAAGCACAAGGCTCGGTTGGTTGCGAAGGGATATTCCCAACAGCAAGGAATTGATTTTGAAGAAACGTTCTCCCTGTTGCATGCTTTGAAAAAGTGAGAACCTTTTAGCTGGGTGCTTAACTTAATTGGCCTATCTATCAATTGATGTCGTCTGCTTTTTTGAATGGTGAATTGGAAGAAGAAGTTTATGTCTCACAACCTGAAGGTTGTATAGTTAGTGGAATGAAATAAAGTCTACAGGTTGAAAAGACACTTTACAGTTTGAAGCAAGCTCAATGGTCATGGTATGCAAAAATTGACTCCTATTTTAAAGAAAATGGATTTGAAGAGTGACAATGAGCAAATCTTTATTTGAAGAAGGAAGGTAAAAATGACTTTTTGGTGGTGTGTCTTTATTTTTATGATATAATATATATGGGATCATGTGAGGCTACTGTTGCTGAATTTAAATCTTGCTGATGAAGAAATTTGGATGTTAGATTGGGTCTATTGCATTATTTTGGTCTTGAGGTGAAACAAAATGTAGATGGAATTTTTATTTCACAAAGGAAATAGCTATGGATTTTTAAAGAGATTTAATATGATGATTGCAAAGTGGCAGACACCCAATGAATGTGAATGAAAAGCTGAATCTTGATGAGGCACTTCATGTCATTTATGCCTTGGTTTTGGAGCAATTTCATGGAGTTCAAAGAAGCAAGAAGTTGTAGCATTATCAACTCAGAGGCAGAGTCATTGCAGCAACTTCTTAGCTGTCAAGAGTATGGTTAGAAGACTTCTTGTGATTTTCATCAAGAGCAAGTAGCGCAACAAAAACTTTTGTGACAAGAGAGAACTATTGCAATGACAAAAAACCGCCTTCCATAGTAGAACCAAACATATTGACCTCCGTTATCAATTCATTCGAGTTGGTAACAAATGGAATGATTTCATTAAAGCTTGTGTGAACAATGAACAGGTCGACCGTTCTGACCAAGTCTCTCTCTCAGGCCAAGCATGACTACTCAGATTGCACATGGGTTTCAGATTTGAATCAAAGGGGAGTATTGAGAGTGATTCAAAGTCTTAAGGGCAAATAAGTCTTTTGCTGGAGTTGAAATGTCCAAGTGTTTAGTGGCTATTAATTAGGTGACGTGATGAAAGAAGTAAGGCGCAAGTATTTTATGTAGTGCTTTAGTAATTAGGAGTCATGGAGTCATGGCCACCTGTGTAGCCTGTAAGCCTATAAAAGGCAATGTCTTTTCTCATTTATCTTTGTATTGATTCTGCAGTCAATTCCTCTTAACAAATATTATTTTTCTGCTCTTGTTTCCATTCACTAATTCGTGTCCGTCTTCATCTAATCCAACATGTGTTCCATCGGAGTTTGATTGGCGAGGGTGAGTTTCAAGTTCACTGGATGGTTTGAAATCCTTCACATTCTTTCAACTTCATTAAGAAAACCAAACTCCGTAATTATGCCTTGGAGTGAGATTTTGGTAGGGAATTTCTGCTCACATCAAGCCAACAGACTTTCTAGTTTAGCCACCTCACTTGAACAGGAGGATGCAAAAACAAAATTAATTACAATTGAAGCAGCGTTCATTTGGAACACCTCATTTGAATAGAGTTTATAAAAATGGGTTTCATAAGCAAGTCAAATTTGTAAAACAAGATAAGTATTTTAAATTTAAAACTTTGAATAAGCTCAAAAAGAGCTTACGAGAGAAGCTCACATTTTGAATATTCTCAAAGTGGGTAAATAGTGATTTAAATTTCAATAAACATTTTGAAATACAATCAAACAACCTAAAAATAAAATTGCTTATGCCTTTAAATAAACTCTTTTAACTATAGATAAGTCCAACTGAACCACATTGAAATCTCATTAACATAAAAAGTTAAAGTAGAATTATATACTTTTGTGTCTTGATGTAAGTCCACTTCCAATAACGTTCATCGTTTCCCAAGCAATAGTGAGACCCCTTGCATAAATCTCAAAGGTGTTCGCACCAGAAAGCTTATCAACCGAAAATCTTTGCAGTAATATAATTTTATACTAAGTATTAGTATTGAACTTAATAATGGTGCTTATAATAAAAACAGTATTGAAGTGATACAAAAACAATCTGTAAGATATATGGGACTTGCCAGTTTGTTTTGGTTCAAGAAGATTCACCGTTGAGCTGCTCAATCAGATTGTCGGAGGACTTGTTAATTGTGAGTCTGCCTCTTGAAGAATGCATCGAGGTTGTGTGGGAGCTGAACTTGCGCTGAAGCCATCTCGCGATGATCACTCTTCTCTAATTCAAATATGTCTTACTGATGATCTTCGTACATGCAGACCTTGAATTTATGGTTGAGATGGTCGAATAAATTACTAATGGATTTCTACACATTATATGAAAAAGATTTATTCCTTTGATAAGGCATAGCTGGATTATTCCTTTTAAAAACGACAATATGATCATGATAGTAGGTATTGAATCATGTATTCAAAAAAAACAAATAAGATTCCATGCCCACGCTTTTACATGGTATTACCTCAATTGTCCAATATTCAAGGGCAACCTGCTACATTCAAAAATATTGTGGACGATCAAAACTTCACCAAATTTGCATAAAATAATAAACTAAAATATTATATAAATTCTTAAAAATTTTATTTTTATTAAAGAAATAACAGTAAGTTCATTACAATCAAAGCATTGTCTGGTTTCAAAGTAGAATTAGGAAAATGAAGCATACATATATAACTGGTAAGAGCAACGCTATATATACAATAACTATCACGGGCAAACCTAAACAAAAAACATTCATTAGTTATGCTATTTTTTAGTTTTGACTAACTGAATTGTGGTTATATTTCAAGATTTGACCCAACTCTTATATTTTTTGCATATGTATATTAAATATTTACAATCCCTTGAATTAGTTTTCCTAGAATTAATATTAAATTACTTTCTTGCCCTCTAACATTAATTCCTAGTCAGCCCTGTAACAT